GATGAGGTCACCCCTCAGTCTCCTTTTCTCCAGGCTAAAGAGACCCAGCTCCCTCAGCCTTTCCTCATAAGGGAGATGCTCCACTCCCCTAATCATCTTTGTAGCCCTACGCTGGACTCTCTCCAGCAGCTCCCTGTCCTTCTTGAACTGAGGGGCCCAGAACTGGACACAATATTCCAGATGCGGTCTCACCAATGCAGAATAAAAGTGAAGACTGAGATTCATGCCTTCCAGAATGCTGATTAATAAAACTATTATCACATGGAGAAATAAAGGTTATTTAGATGCTGTGGAGGTGAAGAAAACTTTAATTATTAAAGTTTTTCTGAAGCTTCTCAGAAGAATCTTTCCAAGTCAGATCATGGCAGCTAATTTGCAGACTACCTGCTTTCATATAGGCAGTCAGAGTTCTGATTAAAGCAGGATTAGTGAAAATAAGCTTTTGTGTTGGATAACTGTTTACACAGTTTCAGAGAATACAGGTGATTACCAAAGCCTTGGCTTGTTAAGTCACTGCTTTGACAACAGATGAGTATGTGACTAGGAGTCACAAAACATATCTGAAGGACTTATTTACAATAAAACATAAAGCAGGTGATGATTTGTGTCATTTGTTAAAAACATAGATTGAAATTCTAGAAAAAATTACACACTTATTACCACATTTACAAGAACTCTCTGAAGCACTTCACAGGTGTTTTTGATTTAGAAAGGCTTTACCACTTCTGATTTAGAGCCAGAAATACTGAATTTTATTATGCTGATCCTATTGTGGTTTTTTTTAAGCAGGATTATGCTTTTTGAACCTTTGAAATGAAAGCTTTAATTGTACATTCTTAAAATGCTATGTCTACTTTTAGGCAGGCAATGAAATATATGCAGAGTTCTTTTATTGTTTTTCTGAAGCTTTATCATTTCTGTGGGGGTGTTAGATCCCAGGTGGGAGATAAAAATGTGACTCCTAGCAGCATTTCTACCTATAGAAGTTAAAAATACCTACATAAGGTTCTCTAATTTTTATGAATGTAAAGCCTTTTGGAGGCTTCTGTACTACAGAAGTTTTAATTTTAGTGTTTGAACCAGCATAACTTCCCTTGGTTATACTAGCCTGCACTTACTGTTAATTTTTAAAATATTTCTTTGGATAGAGTTTTCTCATGATTTGACCTTTGACAAAGCCTTCAAGTAAAATCTGTTGTTTTCATGGTTTTTAAATGTACACTGAACTAATTTTTGAACTTAGAAATATTTTAGGCACAAAAGATTCTTGATTTTAGAGTCTTTGGAACAAAGTTTTTAGGAACAAAGAGGCTTCTAAACAACCATGACACACACTAAAGAAAAGCAGTGCTTTTGGTGGCAGCCTCCTCTTCATAGACAATACCAAGATCCTCGAAAGGATAAAAGGTATTGTGGCAGAACAACCATTCCTGTAACAATAACAGCAAACCCAACAACAAAAAAGCAAACCAAAACACCAAAACCAGAGCAGTTTTGGTACTGGTTACGACTGTGACTGGTGACATCCTAGGCTGTGGGCATGCCCAGACAGCATCCCACAGAAGTTCTTTAGGTGATAGTAACTGAGCTACCTCCAGAACTGAACTAAAAGGCAAAAAAACTGTCCCGCTAGTACACTGATACTGTTTCCAGGACCCACCCTTGCAAAGTGTAATTGTACCAGCTAGACTGGATTGGATCCTGGTTTTTAATTCATTGCATAATGTTGAAATGAAAATCACATTCCTCCGTTTCAGCAAGACTTTGTGCTGGTTGCAACCACTGAGGATCTCCCATGTGCTTTTTTCACCATGCAGCTGAGCTTGGGAGTTTCTAAACCTCATTCTAGGACAAAGACTGATACTGAGAACCATCAGATTTCACTACATACCAGTAAAAGATATCTGGAAAGGCATGACCTAGTTCAGATAGAATTTAGAGATGAGCCAAGAGTGGCAACTTTCTATTTTCTCACACAACAGAAAACACCAGAACAGGACTTTACAGGTTGTGTTCCATGGTTAGCACTTGATCAGAGAAAAGGCAACAGGAAGTTTTTTTATCTAAACAATGGAAGCAACTGCTGCTACAAATCAATAAAGAAGATGGGAAACTTACTACTTCTACTCTTGATCAAGAACCCAGTGAAAGGATACCCACTATGAACGGAGCAGGGCCTCTCTTTAAGCTTTGAGAAGACAGCAGTATCAGGGTACACAGAAATTCAAGGAAAAGATACATTTCAAGTGAATGCTATATATTTTCATAGCCCATATACTTTCACAGCCCACAAACTGTCGACTAGGCAAAGTACAGTTGTGTGGAGTCAGGTATTTTCAGGCCTTTCCATAAAAAATACCATCAGAAGGAACCTTCACAACATTGTTGTGTATAGCTATGTTGCTTTTCAAAAAACTGTGGGACTTGATCCTGAAATTTGTAGGAAATAAATTTCAGCACCAATGTTGTTCCTCTAAGATTTCCATTGTTTAAGCTGAAAAGTCAAATCTGGACTCAGACTATTGAGATGTGCTTTGTTATTAAAATCATAAATACAATTACATCATCTTTTGTATCCAATTATCATGGGATTAGCTTGTCTTTGACAAATAGAGTCCTGTTTGGAATTATTCCTATAATTTCCATGATCTCTTGAATCAAAGAGATCCCTTATTGCAATATTGGTTTAAGATATAAATATTGATGTCCTTCTCCAAAGTCAAGATCAATGCTCAAAAATAATAAAGATATAATCACTTCACATACACTTCACATGTAATCTATACTACTGCACTAAATGCACAGAAAATCTATGCCTCATTCGAAAAAAAGCCATCTGCTTTCCTTCTGGGCCATGCTGGATCTGCTATTGCTCCCAATTAAAGTCCATGGCAAACCTTCCATGAAATTTAATGGTACTGGGCTTTGTTTCTATCTGTAGGAGTACAGTCTACTGAAAACAGTAACTACACTAAGCTGTACTTTCCCAGGTAAACACAGTGCAAAGAAATCAAATAAAACCAAAATAAGTAGCACAAAGCCACCCATATAAGAGGCCCACGTTTCCAATAGCAGCCCAATTCATTAAACAGGCATGGGGATTTAGTCATTCTTTGCCTGATTAAGCACATTTGGGTTTATTGCTTTTTCTTCTTTGTGAACAACTTCATAGCTTTTTGTTTTTCAAAGCTGTGCTTTTGTGTTCTTACTGTTCAGTAACCACCGTCTTTTTTACCCCTTTATTGAGTAGCTCACCTAGGGGGAACAGGTTTTAGTTTACATTTTCCCTCAGGCTGAAATGAAAGTAAGGGCATTATGAGTGTGTGTCTTTCAGCACTTACAATAGCAAGTAATAGTCCTAGGGATTATCTCTGGGATGGGAAGGTGTACTCACTTGTAACCTGGAAATGAAAACTTCCCAGTTTTTTGCCTCGTTGTTGGATGGAATCAGCCTTGCAGGATAGAGATCGCCTGTTCCCACCAGCTGACAATGAAATGAATACTCTGCAGGAGCAGAGATGACAGAAACATTAAACTTAGCAGATTTATCTCCATCTTGTATAATCTCGACTGAATCTAAAGTGGACCAATTTCTAGCTGAGGCTCCATAGAACTTGTTGGTCATTGAAAACCTAGAAAGACAACAGGGGAAAAAAAGTCAAAATGACAGAACGAAATATTTGTTTGATAAAGTACTGGTGGCAGATAAAGGTTCACTATTGCTAACTGCAAACATCACAGTTGGTACCTTAGCTTGGCCTCACATGTCATAAGTGAAGAGACTCTGTGAATTTGTTTTTACTATTTCTTATAGTTTCATCTCAGAAGCACAGCTTTCCATAGCTGTGGCAGGCAAGGAGCAAGGGCAATTTCATTCTTCAAGGGTCTCTGCCAGCACAGTATTTCATCAGTTACCAACAGTTTATAATCAGTGGGGCAGAACCTGAGAGGCTGTCGGTAGGCCTGCGGTGGCTCTCAATAAATATTTTAGGGGATTTTTTGAAAATTGCTTTTAGGATAGGTACAGGTATGATAACCATTCTGATTTATCATTGCAATTCTTCCTTGGCTCAGACGCCTAAATGGCAATTTCCTTAGCGAATGTCTGAATTTGCAGTGGAAAACAAAGTTTTCTCTCACTGAAGAGTAGGGAAGTAGTCCTCAGCCCTAGCTTCCCAATTTGTTGCGGGTTAGGCACAAATAAATATTTTCTCATTTTGAAAAGGTCTGGTCTGTGTATGTGTGGCATTGCAGCAGTTTCCAGTAGTTTATAATCATGGGATTTATATGTATGTTACTACCACTGCAATCTGAACACCTCCCACATGTTCTAAGATGGAAGGAATTGAGAACATCCAGAAGTACATCCTGATCCTTTACAGATTAGGACTATGTCCTAGTCTTTGACACTTTTTACCCAGTTACTTTGATGTAGTTATCTCATAAGGAAATGATAAGCTTTTATCCTTATTGTATGTTGCTTAATACTTTAACCCTACTTGACCTATGCATGCATGGCTCTATATAGTTTGCTGAAGATTTTTTCTTAGTGATAACCACAAAAAACTTAGAAGAGGCACCTTTTCAGCAGTAAGTGAGACCACACAAAATTAAATATTCTAACATGTCTATCCACACTGGGCAACACTGTATGTGGATTTTAAAATGTGGGCTAATAGATGTAATTATGACACTTTTGAAACAAGCAGTCGTCTGTTAATGTGGTACAATACAGAATATTTTATATTTTGTAGGGTATATGTATATACAGATAGAATATTCTCTGTTGTAGAATAGTACTTGTTTGTTCAAATCAGTTGCTTTCAGTAGCATGTCATCCACACAACACAGAGTCTAAACACAAACAATGCTGATTAGCAGCAACACACAAAATTTGACAGGTTAAGTTACCACAGTAATTGAGCCTTTTTTTTAATTATTATTATCTGTGGCTTTTGAGTCATATAACTTCATATTCTTAAAGGGTTTCAAAATGCTTAGAAGGAATCCTAGAACTCAAAGTGCCATTCTTTCTATACAACATTCATCTGTAAGCATCAATAAAAAAGAAAAAAATAAATTTAATTTCATCTGGTACACATTCACACACATCTACTGAAAATATTCTACTGTTATAGTGATAAAGGTACAAAATTAAAACATGTATTAGCCTAGATATTAATCACTAGAAGAAAGGAATCTTTTCCTCATATATATCAAAATCTGAACAGAATTTCCATGATGCCTCAATAGCAATGCTATAAGCACCAGCTGAAGGCCAGTTATAAACACAGAGAAGTTTGTTTAAATGTGCCAACCACAGATGCTGGGTGTGCTCTGTACTTTCACTGAGAAGATAAGAAAAGTGGTAAACAAGGAAATTCTTTGGAGACTTAGCATACGAACAAACGAGTCTTATAAGATTAGGTATGTAAGTGACCTCCAAGAGAACACTGTCTTTTCATGTTGCACCAAAGACTGAAATTTCATATTACTTGCAGATTTATGAGAATTAAGATTCTAATTAGTGAACTAGTTGAGCATGGCTAACTTAATAATACAGGCTTTTATCCTTAGCATTTTTCAGAACAACTGATAGTGAATAGTCTCAAAAAGGAGATGCTTATCTGATTAATGATACAACTATAATTCATTAAATTAGAAAAAACAGACGTTCAAACAACAAAAATCAATAGAATTATTTCATTTAGTTGAATATTTTCTCAGAAGAGTAGATAGCAAGTAGAATGAGCACAATATAGGAAATGAAAGACAATGGGAGACGAGATAACAAGGGTTTTCTTTGCAGAACCAAAAGTACCTTGGCTTTGTAGGAAATGCTGTGTTCTGTTAAACATTAGGGCCAATGCACAAAGCAAACATTCACACAGCCATAATGTGCTTTATGTACTACGGCATAAACAATTCCTGCTCATAGGCCAGACTCCCTTTGTGCCAGATAACCACACGAACTCTAACTCCACCAGTTACCAACCAGCATGTAGCTGTTCATTACAAGGTGAGGTATTCCAGAAAAGGAAGCAAGGTGGAATTACTATTGTTGCAAAGACCCAAAGAGAGACACAACTGTTAGGCAAAAGACTGTAGAACATAGGTCTTGGATCAGTTCCATTCTATACATGCCATAAGCAACAACAGTAAAGTGCTTATCAATATAAGTGGGGGAAGCACTAATGGTCTCCACTTCCATCCACTTTGACACGTTTTCCCAGAGATGACAGACAGGTGCCTGAACAGCTGGACGTTATCAGCTGCTGAGAGATCTGAGATGATGCTTCTTCCAGCAAAAATTACTGCTCCTACCCCTGCTGCAGCATTAGTTCACTTTTCTAAAACTAGCGCAACCAGAAACACTCTACAACTACTCCCTAACAGCTCATCTCTCAGTGGCCACTTGCCAGGAGAATGAATGGGAGTGCTGCTCTTGCTAGAGAGAGGGAGGGGGCAGCTGTTTGCATAGGATAAAGCAGTTACTGCAGCTGCTAGCAGGAGGTGGGATATGACCAGCTGCCCAGCGTGAGATGGTAGACTAGTGGTGGTAAGGGCAGGATCTGCATCCAGCTCATGCTGCTGAAGTTAGAGCCTCTTATATTGATGGATAAATTGAGCTGTTTGAATGTCTTCCTCTCTGGTATCACTCTTTCTGTCTTCAAAGGATGTTCTCCGAGAGCCAAGTAAATGGCCTTTAGAAGGGAAAAAAAATGGAGTCATGGCTCTAAGCTCTGTTCCTTCCCACCTCTTTGCCCTGTTTATTGAGTAGACTGTAATCTTACCAAGGAGTCATCTTGAACAAGAAAGGTAATCAAAGTGAACCAGAAGGAAAAATCAGAGGTTATAATGGATCTCTGAGGGGTTTAAAAGCTCTTGACATTCTGAGATAAAGAAAGTGAATAAAATGTTCCTGAATTATGAAAAGTTCTATGGATTGTTCTAGTTTTGTTGAGTATATCTTATCACTTGCATTTTATACAAGACAATATTGTATTATGGTAGCTAGCTGAGGCCTTAAATGACACAACTTTCTCTTAAATTCAGAGATAATCCAATGGAAAACAGCACAAATAACAGATATGTCTCTAGCAGGAAGTTTTCTTTATAAAGGCTCCTGAGTTGTGGTGGTGTCATGGTTTGGGTCCTTGGGAGGGGGAATGTTCTAATGCTCTTTTTTTGAATTCTTTCATTTTCTCGGGGTGGATTCGGGGTGGATTCGGGGTGGGGGAGAAAGCAGCTGCCCAGGGCACACCACCACACCCCAGGCTACAATAGATAAGATAAGGACAGAGATACAGACAGGTGTTAACACCCCGAACCCAGCGGGAGGGGTCCTCTCTGCTT